AGGACCAGAACAAAGATCTACCGAGCCTCTCATGCGGGGCCTGAGGACTAAAGGGGCCCTGTCTCGTTTTTACTGCATGTGTCGAGCGCGAGCCAGGCTAGGGCAGTAGACACTGCCACGAGATGATTTCCCGGCGAGCAGCTGGGCGACGGAGCAGACTGCACAGAGGTCAGACCAGATAGAGAGTTCCCATGACAGGCGCGATTAGCAGCAAGTTCAAGTTATAGACGGGCCAAAAAGGGCCAGGGCGGCACGTGGGTGGGTGCACTTTGAGCCCAATGCCAGCGGGGCAGGCACAGACGAATGCGGCGCTATCTCTCTCCACCCGGCCCCGCTTCACGTTTCAAAACTGGACAGCCCGCCTCGAGGATCCCGAGCGCCAGAGCAGGACCAGAACAAAGATCTACCGAGCCTCTCACGCGGGGCCTGAGGACTGAAGGGGCCCTGTCTCTTTTTTACTGTATGTGTCGAGCGCGAGCCAGGCTAGGGCAGTAGACACTGCCACGAGATGATTTCCCGGCGAGCAGCTGGGCGACGGAGCAGACTGCACAGAGGTCAGACCAGATAGAGAGTTCCCAAACCCCTAAGGAAACTCTGGCCGCCACTGACAGAGTGGCAGAGGCGGCCGAAAAGTAAAAAGGAACTTCGATGCTGAAGCGAGAAAGCACGGAGACACGCTACTTGCTGATTAGGCTAGCCATCGCTTGCTGCGGCGCCTTGAGCACAGCGCGCTCGATTACATTTGCGAGAGCATTGGCAAGGGCAGCTGGATAAGCAGCTGCGAGCGCAGTGTACTTACATCCTGCAGGGCCCTGGCCGGACAGAATCACATGCTTGTTGGCAGTGCGTGAGCACAGCCCGCGTCTCCCCTGGCACACGCGGCATAAGGATTCAACAGGGCCAGCGTGCCATGAAACGATTCTCGTGCGCTTCCGCCAAAGAGCACCATACTGGCACTGGTCTAGATCACAACTGCGTGCAGAGGGTAAGTGAACGAGCCGAGACAGCGAGCGGGCATACCACTTCAAGGAGCTTGCTGGATTCCCCAGCATCACAGGAGTCCCTAGACGACAGCACAGTCTGATGATGCGGCACGTGAAAGCAAAGGAAGCGCTGCCCTGCTGTAGGCGGGCTCTCTCGGAAGTGCTCGACTGATGGAGTCCCATTGGGTGGTCGCGAGATCTCAGGGGCCTCCTGGGAGCCCGCGACCAGGTGGTGCAGGGCGTCCCTAGAAAAACAGCGGCGACTGCGTGGCTACAAAGCCATCCGACGATGACCTCCTCGAAAGTGGCGCCGAGGTGGTCCTCGAGAGGCCCATGCCTGATGTCGAGTCCCAGACCCGAGAGGCCGAGTCGGCGCACCGCGGCGGTGAAGTGGCCCGAACCGCTGAAAAGCTCTACCACAACTCGCCTGCGACAGAGCGAGCCCCGCTGCACAGCCTCCTTGAAACACCGCCTCAAGTGCTGGCGGACGGCGTCGCCCGCAGCACTCACAGCGCCGCAACTGCGGGCCTCCTCCGAGCCCGCCTGCCGCGCGCCGGGCCGCCGAGCTGCATCGCCTCCACTAGTTGGGAGGGCACCTGGGCGAGGCACCAGCTTCTGATGAAGCCCATCTCCAGCAGCTCGCCGAAACGCCCTTCCACGAGGTGGCCGAGCGCGTACACGTCCTCCGCCCCGCCCTGAACCTCGCGCAGAAGAGCCGTCTCTAGCGCCGCATCGACGACATGACGGCCCCGCGGCACCTGCGGCGAACCCGCTCCATCGATCGCCTCTGCGTCAAAAGGTCGTCGCTCACTCCGCCATGCCTCATCCTGAACAAGTGGGGGCGCAGGTGGTTGATGCCCAGGGTCGTTGCCGCAAGAAAGAACATCAGGTTCAGCTGGCCGAGACTGAAGCCCCACAGAGGCGTCGCGACAGGCCCCTTCAGGCGGAGCGCCATGAGGACCGGCACGAGGTACAAGTCGAGATCGAAAGGGATCGACACGTCGAACGCCCCCGTCTTCCCGCCCTGGCCGCGGTCTGCGGGGTGCATCAGGAGGCCCCAGAGCTGGTACGCGGCGCCCGCGTCGATGGACGGCTGCACGATGCTGTCGGGCGTCAGCCTCTGTGCCAGGTGGCGCGCGGTGAGGTACTCCGCCAGGATCGAGTCCAACTGGCCCAACGTGCTCCAGTCCAGGTGGCGGTCCGCACAGTAGCTCACGAACGTGTGCAGCAGCTGCCGGTATAAGGCTTCTGCGTTCAGTCTCACCGCCTGCTGCTCCAGCAGGCTCATGGCCAAAGAACTGGTGCGCCCGCCCGCGGCTTTGGCAGCCAGGATCGCGCGGTGTCTCGTCAAGGCCGAAGGGGTGCGCGATCCCCGTCGCGGCATCGCCTCCGCCCTCGTGATCAGCATGAGCAGGACAAAGAGGGCGACGCAGCCGCCGGCCAGCCGTCCGAGCACCATTAAGATGACGGTGGCCGCTGAACCAACCCAGCTTCCCACGGCTGAGCGAATCTGATGGGTTCCTTTCTGAAGCGATCCAGCGTACACAAAACCTCGAGCCCGTGGCTAACGACAGACAGCACAACTGGTTGAGACATGACCTCAAGAAACTTGAGCGGGCTCTCCCCTTTGTACAAGAAAGAGCCAAGGGCAAGTTGTCGACTAAGGCTACCATGCGCTTGCCGTGACTGCCCAAGTTACGAAGAAGGTGCCGATAAGACGTGACTAAGGCCTCGCCCTCAAGGTAAAGAATATTGGCCCCCAGAGACACCGACTGTGCACTGACGCTCTTCCAAGCTTCTTTGCGTGTAATGTGCCCAGGTACCTCGTCGAGCTCCCAAGGGTCCATGCTGAACCTCAGGGCCTCGGTCATGTTGAGCTCCACAGGGATGCCCAAGTCCTCACCGTGGACGCCCAAGGTGCCGGCCTCCTGGATGTCCTCTGGATTCTTCAACGCGTGACTCCCCAAGCTGCCCAGGTGCTCCTCAGAGTGTTTCCCGTTACCGCTGGATCTTGGCATGAGAGGCGGAGAGAGAGAGGACGGTTTTTGTCTGTTTTCGACTGGCCCCTCATCAACCACCAGTTCTCCTGCCTTGAGCGACTGCAGGCGAGCCTGGTGCCCGCCCTCGACCTTGTAGCGCCACCGCTCCGAGCACCGCCCCACTGCAGCACAAGTAGCAGCAGGCGCCCGCCGTCGCATGACGCCGAGGCCAAAGGGAGAGGCGTCGCTGGCCGTCATCACGGTGTGCCACTCTGCAGTCAGGTCGCAGGTCAAAATCGGGAGCAGGTCCCTAATGATAATGAGCTCCTTGATCACTGACGGCCAGAGCTTGCCGTGCCTCGGGCCGAAGGCGCCGCCGTAGCCATAGGAGCTGTGCAGCACGGTGAGCACCTCTCTGCGGATCATCGACGTCAAGTGATGTGACCAAGCACCGCCCGAAGCATGTGGCCGGAGCACCATCCACGCCTCAACAAACTGGATATCGCAAAATGGAGTCTCCAGATGTTCCGAGGCTTGATGCGAAGATATCTTCCACCGCGGAGGCTGAGGCCAAGGAAGTCGGCATCCAGAGCAGCGGGCTCGATCTCGTGCACTGGAAGTCCGCGACTCCTGAAGGTGCCCACCAGCCTAGTCATAGTCTCATCCACCAAGGACTTGCAGCCGCCGAAGACGAGGATGTTATCGACGTAGGCGGCAACCCCCACGGCATTCTTCTCAACCACGTTAACCCCAGGATGGCCATCCTGAGCGGTCTGATCCAGAGAGTGGCCGTCGTCCGACAGCACAGTGCGAGCAGCAGCCTGACAAAGATGCAGTGCCCACGAAAAACCATAGGAAGCACAATAACCTGGGGCGAGAGAGACACCAACGGGTCGAAGTCGAGGTCCAAGAGGCCGAGCTCCTGAAGCACCCCCGCCTTGATCGGCGGCAAGGTGAACATCACCTCCATGCCCTCAGGGAGCCTCATGTGGTAGAAGGCGCACTCCAGGTCGCAGGTGGACATGTACATGCCTTCGATCGGCGCCTCGATCGAACTGAAGGCTGAGGCCGAAGGTAGCCGAGTGCTGGGCGCGTCTAGAAACTTGCAGTTGGCGGCCCTCGTGTCGAAAATGATGCGGAGGGCCCCCGTCTTCTTGGGAACGAAGAAGAGGCCGACGGCGTGCGGCTGACCGGAGTCCGCCGCGAAGTTGACCATCTGTTTCTCGTACATCTGAATCAAAAAACGACCGTACGTGCTCACGTCGCGCGTCAGGGCGGGATCGCAAAAAGGCCCCTTCGGGCATGCTTCCCTGGCCAGAGCAGCAGCAGCACGCGGATCTCGAAGCATATGACTCCGCCAACCCTCCAGCCAGACCCTATCCACGGGCGGCACCAGCTCGACGATGTCCACTGGGGTCCCACCCGCGGCAGGCCATGCGACTCTGTCGCTGACGTAGGGGGTCGACGTCGCGGCGCCAGCACCGCACAGGTTGGCGCAAGAGAGGAGCTCCCGGAGGGCTCCGTCTTCGGCAGCGTTACCAGACATGAACTCTGGCGGCAGGCGCCCAAGCTCGTCGATGCTGTCCGCGATGTGCATGATGGCCTGGCGCTGCCCCTCGTGAGCCGCAGCTGGAGGCGAGGACCGAGAACCATAGAGCGAATTAAATGCGTTGATGGCTGAGCAAACCCTCTCTTCACGATGAAGGCGATACCCAGCGCGCCTAGCCGAGCGGCGACTGCCTGGCGCTGAGGGTGGGCCGGCAGCAGCAGCGGGGGACGGCAGCGGGAAGACGTCGCGGTGTCGGAGACTTCCACGCGTGCCCGGGCCTGCGGCCGTAGCCGCACTTCTGTCCCAGGGAGGGGCTGGCCCAATTGCCCCCCCCTGGTGCTTCTCAGCCATGGCCGTCTGGGGCTGTGCGGCCGCCCCTCCCGCCGTCTCTGCCTCGTCCGCGGCCGCGGCCGCGGCCTCGGCCTCGGCCATCGCTGCCGCGCCCGTCGCCAGAGCTGCCGCCGGCTGCGAGGAGCGCTCCTCGCGCGCCTAGCGCCGCCCCTTGGCTATGTTGGCCTCGCGTGCCTTCTCGGCGGCCAGCCAGTCCCTCAGAGCAGGGGCTACGCACACGTTCCCGCCAGCGCCCAGAGCACCCGACATCAGAGCAGCGTCTGAGCCGAACTCCGAAGCCGCCGCGAACCTGTCTCGGTACAGTTCCTCCTGCGTCTGGAGGGTCCGCCCGACCAACTCCATGGCGGCAATGTTAGTCACGTGGAGTTGATCGTAGACCACGCCCAGCTCGAGGAGGCGGCAGCACAGCAAGTGGGTGTCGACTCCAGGATCGTCCGCCTCCAGGTGCCCGTCCGAAACCCACTTCGTGTGCCTGCCAAGGGGCGCCCCCCCATTGCGGCATATGAAGCTCAGCACCCATAGCAGCGCGCGAGGTCCCTCAACTGCCAATCGCCCCATGGCAGCTCGTGAAAGCGAACCACTGCAGCTCGGAAGTCCACATACCTCACTCCCTGCGTGTCGAAGACAACCGACTGAATCCGTGCATCGCCTCCAGGAGCGCCAGCGATGGCGGCCAGAGCTGCGGCCACGCCACCAGGACCAGGGCCACCACCTGCGGCAGGCGCGGGGGCGGCGGCAGGCCCAGGGGCCGGCGCGGCCACGGCGGCGCCGCCGAGGGCGCCAGGAGCAGCGGGGGGCGCCCCTCCTCCGCCAAGAGGCACGACAGCTGGAGCTCCTCCTCCCGCAGGTGCAGGTGCGGCCGCCACTGGTACAAGGGCGGGTGCGGTGGCGCGGCCGCTGGGCCGCCTCCGAGGGCTGCCGCTAGCCCTGCCAGACCGCCCAGAGCCCCGGGGGCGCCGCCGGCCCCGCCCGCAGCGGGGGCCCCCGCAGGCCCAGCGCCAGCCGGAGCGCCTACCACGGCCGCGATGCCACGCCCTGCCGTGTTCAGCGCGATCGGCGGCCCAGCGCCCAGCCCAAGAGTGCCTCGAACAGAGGCGGCACCCGTCGCGACCTCTCCAGGAAGAGGGAGACCACGGAATCGGTAGACCTGATCCCCAGCTGTGGCGGCAGCCACGGCGCCGGCTGCGGCGCCAGCGGGAATCGCGCACCCCCTGATGTCCGCACCGTTCTGCATGATGGCCTCCACGTAGGCGTGCCCATCTGGAGTCAAGACCCCTGTCCCGAAGGGCGGCACCGTCTGAAATGCCAGGATCAGGCGCTCGTGCCAGATCCGGGCACCTCCCACGCGATACAGCACCAGGATGAAATCGCCCTCGTCGAGTCCGTCCAGAGCCAAAGGGTGTCCACTGGCCGCCGCGGCGGCTGCAGAGCTGGCCATCACGAGGCACAGGCCCGCGCTCTGACTACAGCCGCCTGCGCTCTAGCCTCCTCCTCCAAAGAGGGCTGAGGCGGGAGGCCAGCGATCGGCTGCCAGGAGCCCAGCCACCGCGCGGCCAGGAGCCCTCCTGCGAAGCCAGTCACGCCAGCGAGGGCCACCGCTGACAGCGCCCACCCTGGGGACCCGCCTGGGCAGTCCAGGCGCGCCGCCTCCTGGCCAGGGGCGCACGCGAGGGCTGGCGCGCACGTGCAGGCTGGGCACTCACCGCGGGCTGCCCACAGCAGCGCGGCCTGCCCAACGCCGTGCACCGCCTCGCCCGCCAGCCATGCGGCGAAGGCCATCGAAGTGCCGTCGGCTTGCACTTTGAGCCCAATGCCAGCGGGGCAGGCACAGACGAATGCGGCGCTCTCTCTCCACCCGGCTCCGCTTCACGTTTCAAAACTGGACATATATATAATATATATGCTCATATATATATACACACATACATACATACGGCAATACAGCCGTCTGCAAACTGCCCCAAGGTTAGGGGGAAATGTATTGTATTTCCGCCCCACGACCCCTTCCAAACAATATGCGTCGTGTAGCTGGGAAAAAACTTGCTCGAGCAAGAAAAAGCCTGCTCGCACAAGGGTTCAGCGGGAGTAAGAATTGCCCGGGCAACATTTTCCCTGCCCAGCGAGCTGTTTCCCGCCGAAACAATATTGCTTCAAATCTATTGTGGGGCAGACGTAAATCTTGAAATATTTCAATTTGTCGCTGGTATATTTCGATTTTCTGTGATGTCTCAGACTATTTTCTGTAACTATCGCAGAATACTTTCACCGGAAATTGCGCAGCAGCCTCGACACTTCCTCTGGCGCCACAGGGGCTGCGTCGCGCTCCATGGTCACGGTCACGACGGCGGCGTATACCTTAAGGACGGTTGTCGCGGAAGCGCCAGCAAAACAGTTACCGGTCGGCCACTCGCGACAGCTCAAGAATGCTTCGAGCGCCACCAGGTCCACATACAGCTCCACATCTTCTCGCCCTGCACCCTCCTCCTCAAGCGCGGCGTAGTTGCCAGCGGGGGCGTCGCGCTGGAAGTAGTGACACTGCGCGTGGATACTCTGGCGCTGGCGCTTCGTATCCAGGCGCTGGGGCCACCCATGCGGCCTGCGGTCTAGACTGGCCGCCGCACGCTCGATGGCCGCGCAGCCCTTCTGCTGGCCGTCGGCGCCCCCCAGCTCCTGCAGCTCCTAGGCTAGATCCTCTGACCCCTCGACTACTTGCCAGGCTGCCAACGTCACCTGCTGGACGTGGCCAGAGAGGTCGCCGTCGGCATCTTCGGCAACCGACAAGGACGATGACAAACCCCCTTCGGTGACACTGGCGGCGCCTCGGGGACTTCGATGACATAGCCATCGAAAGGCCCCTCTCGGCCCTGCCCGGCGTTCGCTGCAAGCAGCGGTTCAGCAGCCAAAATGAACTGGATGACGCGGGCGCCCTTCCGCCATTCGCCGATGAGCTCGCGGGCGTCGCCGTCCACATGCGGGCGCCAGACGTCGCTCAGGTCCCAGGGGAACCACTGCATGGACAAGCTGCGGGCGCAGCCCGGCCAGTCGCCCGAAGACTTCTGGCTGCGCACAAGACGCGCGGCACGAACGTCTGGCAGTTGAAAGCATCCACGGGACAAGTGGCGCATGGCCTCGAGAATATTGGGGCGTTGCCGAGCCCGCTCGGTCAGCTGCGCGCCCTTCGCGCCCCCCCAGCGGCCGATGGTCCGGCCTGGCTCCTGAGCCTGGTGCGATGTGCTCCAGGTAGTCCTCCACGCGATCCCAGGCTTGCTCGCGCCATGCCTGTGCCTGCGTCGTCGAAGACGTCACCGATGAAGGCCCGTGCGTCCTGCACTCTGCAGACCATCTCGACTTGGCGGCACCTGCCTGCAACTTACAGAGATGATCGTGCGAGGCAATGCCCAGCCCGTTGCGTCTTTCGTGTTGGAACCCCTGTGGATCTCTACCTGGTTGCCAACGTTGAAGCGCCCCTCTCCGGTCTCGGTGGCGAGCTTCCGGAGGGCGCGGCTGAGCGCGGGAAGTCGAAGTGGCTTCACCCATGCGTTGCAAGGCAATCTCTCTCCCATCCGCCACTGCAATCGCGCGGGCTGCACTTCGCAACCAGCAGCGGGGCCGGAACCAGCAACATCGTCGGCACATAAAGCGCCCTCCTCATCTGCTTTGAGCGGCGGCAGCGCGGAGGGCTGCCTGCCAAAGGCGACTTTGAGCGGCGTAACGCCGCCCACCTGGGCGAGGCTGTTGCCCGCGAAGAACGCGTTGGCCAGCATGGAGTCGAAGTTGGCGGAGATACCTTTGCGCTCCAGCTGCCCCTCCGCGGCGCGAAGTGCGCGTCGAAGCACGGCGCCGCGCCGCTATGTGAAACGAGCGTGCTGGCGCGGAGCTCGGATGTAAATCTGTCATCTTCGCATCCTCATCTCCTCCACGATTTATGCTGGGTTCATGCCGCCTTCGGCGCCCGCGATGAAAGTCTCCATCGCGCCGAACAGGAGGATCCACAAACGGTCGATGGCCACCAGCAGCGTCGCGCCGCGTCTGCCCGCGACCTCCTGGCCATTGCGCCAACGCGAGGCACCGCCCATCAAGCGCAGGATCTTGTTATCCATCTAGTAAAGGATGTCGCAGGTGCCGGTCAAATTGCGTCGAAAGGCGCAGCGCGGGAATGGTCTGGCACGCTGGTGATAGACATGTACGACATTCCCGACAGTCGCTGGCCGCTGTGGGGATGCGGTCGAGGACTGCCTGTCGAACGTTGGCTGCTCGCAGAGCTTGTGCTACTACCTCCTTTGTAGCGCGCCACTGCCGGCGGTGTAGTTTGCGCAGCTCTCGCAAGCGTCTCACGCGAGTCGCCGCGCAGAGCGCAGCGACGTGGCCACGTCGAAGCGAGTCATGTCTGAAGGCGCAGGGCTGCCTGCTGATGCGTCGGCAGATCGCGGTGCTGCTCGTCTCGGCACTGCGCGGTCACTTGACTGGCTAGTAGTTGTGCCCAAGCAACGCAGTTGCTGGAACTACTGCCCTGAGCCCCAACGCTGGATGATGAGGTGGCTCCTAGCGCGCTGGCCGGTGCCGGCGGCAGTGCAGCTTCGTCTGCCGCTTCGAGGTCGGCCTGGCCGAGCTTGTCGATCGCTGGTGCGGCGCGGTCCTCCTGATCGCGCTGGCGCTCGCGGGCGCGGGCCGGCGCGCGGGCGCGGGCCGGCGCGCGGGCGCGGCCGGGCATAAGGGCCCGCGAACCTTCGCTGGCTGAGCACGCGGGCGCACGCAGGGTGGTCGCGTTCCTCTCCTCACGACACCCCAAGCATTCCCAATGCAGTTGGACGCTGCGAGGTTACCGGAATTTGAGCGAGTCCGCTCGGAAGTTGCGCCTGCGCAACTTGCACGAGTAGCGCGCGCACTGATCGGACATGGCGCCCCTGATCTCGCCCTCCGCGGCCAAGGAAGCAACTGCTGGGTATGCTGCCGTTTTGACGTCGCATTCGTGGACATAGTTCGCGAGATGCGAGCGTCTCAGGCGGCGGCGTAGGTCCACTATGCCCTGGACAGGCCGCTCGGCCGTGGCCAGATCTGGGCGTCGGCGCCGTTTCGGCCATCGACGCGCACGTGGAAGTAGTTACCGGCGCACCCGAGATTCACGAACTGCTCGAGCGTCTCTGGGGCGTTGGAGTCCAAGCCGGCGGTCTTCCTCAAAATACGACCGCGACGATTTCGAAACGCAGATGGGCACTGGTCGAAAATGACTCTGTGCACGCCCGGTGCTTCGAGCACCTCTTGCCAAGGCGGCTCGTCGCACAGTCGCGATGGGTCGGGCTGCTCGTCGACGAAGTGGCCGCCGAGCTGCGGCTAGCTGCAGCATTGCCGCGCGGCTGCAGAATCGGCCGCGCGGGGACGCGCCCCCGTTGGAACGCAGCCAGGCGCTTCGTTTCTAAGTAAATTCGGCCCATCGACAGAGCGGCCTGCAGACGAGGGCTATGATGGTCACAAGGGGGCGATTTCCTGTCGGATGCACCTCTCCACGGCCCTCTGCTGGCTCTAGTCGTTGAAATCGCAGCACGTTGCCAAGTCGAAGTTGGCGCCAGCCCTGAGGCGGCGGCGGACAGCAAGTCTGCTAGTCCGCGCCTCCTCAAGGCAAATACTCGTGATGTCGGCGCCGCGGTCAATAAACAATGGAAGTGAAGCGGGTGAGAAGATGGTGAATGTCGTCGGACTTTGCAGGCTGTGTCGTTTGAGCACTCGCCAGATGGCGATCTGATGCCGGGGCCGAAGAGCCGCGGAAACACCGCGTCGGCAAGCCTGATGCGAGGCTGCCGCGAAGGTCGTCGTCGTCGCACTCGTCGGCACGACTGGGCTCGCCACTGGCTGGGAAGCCAGGGAGATGTGGGGCTAGACCCGCGAGGTCAGTGCCGCAGTCGTCGCCGTGGTCCTCTACGACCTGCTTACGTGCTTTGGGCACGTGGCCCTCCTGTATCTTCGCCATCTGGCGCATGCGCTCGGCCGCAGGGTAGGCGCCGACAGCAAAATTGCAAGGCGCCACCTGTGCTGGTCGGCACCCCGCGGCTGAGGAACCATTTTGAACGATTTGTTCGCCCCTCGCGCGCGCAGGCTCCGCGATGTTCTGGGCGCGCCGTTCGGCGCCAGCGCGGGCGCCGCGCTTGGCGGCGCACCTGCCGGGCGCCACGGGGCAGGAAGGAGCGCTGGCACTGCCCTCAAAACACGCTGTTCTCGCAGATCCTGTTTCGTGGTCCCGAGCACGCTGCTCGGCGTCACGCTTGCCACTCGCCATTGGGAGGGAGAAGAAAAGGAGGAAAGGAAAAACAAAGAAAAGCGTGGCGCTGGAACAGCTGCTGCGCTTCGCCGTTCGCCGAAAGCGCACCTTCTGCGGCGCGCTGCTTCTCGTTGAAGTACCACTGCAGTAGGGCGCAAGACGTGGCGCGTCGCGGCGCATCAACGTCGTCGCCCAGTCGTTGTTGCGCCCCCCCAGCGCGGCGTCGCATCGGGGCAGCTAGTTGGCGATGAGTGCGCCGGTGAGCATCATGATCATGCAGGGTTTGTCGCTGAGCTTGACCTAGGGTCAGAGACTGATGACAAGCCCGGCGCTTGCCGGGGAACAACTAGCTGGCGTCGGCCACCTGCTTCCCAGCTGGACGTCGCCACTGAAGTTCGCGCAGGCCGAAGTTCGCGACCCTGGCGCTGGCGCCCTTGACCCGGGCGCGACAGTCGGAAAGGAAATCGAGGAGTCGGCGCACCCCGCCCCAAATCGCGTCGACCACGAATCTTCGCAGTCGGGGCCGATCACTCCGCCCGAGACAACGACGCCCTTCAGGGGGGGTCGAGCGCGGGGCAATCCGCAGGCAAGTGCCTGGCGGCGCAAGAGCGACGACGCCCGTAGACACCAGTTCTCGACCATGCGCAGCGATACTGACGTCCGCGCGGGCGCGCAGGTCGCAGCCTGCCGCCCGCGGCGCGCCGCGCCCCGGTGCTTCCGCGCTGGGGCTCAGAAGCTGGATCTTAAGCTTCTTGAACTCGCGACCGTCGCCGGTGTCGCGTCGCCCAGGCGATTTGTTGCCCACTGCCAGCAGCGTAAACTGCGTGGGCGGTAGTTCCCTGGAGGGCGGCTGCAGTCGGTCAACGTTGTCAACTGGCACGCGCAAGTGGCCACTCGGCACCGATCTCAAATCGACGCGGATGGCGCGTGGGCCCCACTTGATCTCGAAGCCGCCAGGCCCGGGAAACGTCAGGCTTGTGCGCGCCACGCCTGTCTCCACCACTCCGTTGGTGGACCGCGTGGATTGCCAGCCGAGGAAGACGCGGAGATCGAAGCCTGCGCCCTCCAAGGTCGGAGCGCGCGTGCCGTGCTGCGTGGTCACGAGGTCGCGGGTGGTGAGTGCAACAGGGCAATGTTCCTCCCTGCGCAATCTGCTATCTGTCGGCTGCCAAGTAGTGGAGTCACTGCTTCTCCTCCGTGGTCACGAGCTTCGTCCTCTGGGCCCCGTCTTCCAGGCTCGCGGCCGACGACGTCGTCATCGGACCCGCTGTAACGCGACCTGCACCAACGAAATGGAAGTCGGCGATGACGCCGGCTGGGCCTCGGCACGCCGGGTAGTACACCATGTGGGTGTCGGCGTTCTGCACGAGCTGCAAATTGCATGCCTGGTGCAAGATGTGGCGGCATTGCAGGCGTGCCACCCTGTCGCCATGTGCGAAAGCATCAATAGAACATCCCCTGTCTTCGCCGTCGAATACAGCGACGGAAGGAGGTGCAGCAGGCGCGGCAGCCGGCACCAGGTGAATTTGTCAGGGTTCATGTCCGGCCCGTTGCGGCTCGGCGTCGCTGCTCGTGCTATTGCCGCAAGAATTCGAGTGCTAGCGCTGTGAACTGTGGAGCTCGTCGACGCGCCGTCGTTGCGCGCGGTCGAGAACGGCGCCCGCACCACGTTCGGATCGGCCGCCACTCGACATCCAGGCGTCGCTGCCAGCGAACTGCATTGCCACTCCCACAGATGGCTGACATGTCGGTGGGGACGTTCTGATTGAATAGGGCCAAGTTAGTGGAAGACCCCAGCACTTGCGGTGATTCTGCTGCTGGCGCGCACTGCTGGGGCCACGTGGAGCTCGACGCACGCGGCGCGACGGCGCCGAGGGCCGCGACTGATGGCATGCAAACCAGCTCGGTAACTGCGCGTCGGCAGGTGGGGTCGCAGGCGCGGCGACTCGGGCGCTGACGTCGATTACCCATTCGCGCCATTGAGCTTGCCCCAGCGGGAAGGCACTGGCCACTGCTGTCCAGCGCGGCGGCGTCGGCGGCGGCGACGCTGCCGATGCTGCTGGAGCTACAAGCGCCGCAGGCGCGGCCGGCGCTGCGCCCCCCACCCCTGCCGCGCGGGCCAGCAATATAGTTGCTGGGCCCGCGGGCAGACCAAGGTCTTGCTGCGCGCGGTTCATTCAGCTCAACCATTTCTGGATGCGGTCGCCGCATCTCTGCCTCGCGCGGGCTGCGAGACGATGGCGGGGGCGAGTCTCCGACCAGGCTCGACCAAGGGGCCGCGGCCCTCGAGCCGTCGCAAGACGCACTAGGTGCTGCCGCTGTAGCAGGAGGCTCTACGCGGGGCCACCATCGCCGGGACCCCCAATCATAGGTTGGGGAATTCCCGAAGCGTCTCTGGTCATCCAGACCGCGCACGCGCCCGTCGCGGGATGCTGAGCGGCTGGCCCAGGCGCCCCCCCGACGTCCCAGGTGCGCGAATGGTGAGGACGTCGGCGGTTGCGGCCTGGGCTGGGGCGTCGAGGAAGAGAGCGCGCCCCTGCCCGCGGCGCCGGGGGCAGTTGCGCACGAGGCGCGCTCGTCGGAGTCACGCTCGCGGCGTTTGAGACGCACCCCGCCAAGGCCAGTGGGTCGCTTTAGCGGCCGAGACCCATGCCACTGGCCCTGACCTTCCCTTCCCCCTTGCCCTTGCCTTCCCGAAGCCAGCGAAAGCTCCCCGGCCGCCTGCGCCCTGGCCCTTGTCCTCGCCATCGATGACCCTCCACGCGCGGAGCGCGGGCATGCGATTGTCGAGGCTGCGCCAGCAAGACTTCGCGCGTTCGCAAATCCAAAATAGGCGCGCACCGCGCTGTTCCACTGAAGCGTCGCGTAGCTCGGGGTCGCCGGAAGCAATCTCTTCGCCGAATTAGCTGGCGGCGTCGGAATCGGTGCCTGAGTCGGCGCCGGCTGCTGCCACCTGCGCTGGAGATGCCGCGCCGGGGTCGGCCGCGGCCGCAGCCGCGCGCGGGCTCGGCGCCTCTCCCAAGGCAGCGGGCCCCGCGCCATCCCAGCTCGACCCGGCCGCAGTACCATAGGCACTCTGAGCCAGATCTTGCGCGGGCGCACCCGCGAGGAATGTGCGGCGTCGGGTCGAGTGAACGGCCGAGGCGAAACTGCCCAGCGAGCCCTCGACCACGTGCCCAAGCTCGCGCGGGAGGGCCAGTCACGCGCGCCAGCTGCCGCGCGCCCGTCTGGCAGGCAAAGTTGCAACGCTGCAGAGCTATAACGATTCCGAGGTTCGACGCGCCCGCCGCGCGCGGTGAGAAATAGCCGAAGCCCTCGTGGCCGACCATGAGTTGACCGGCCTGTTGCGCCCTGTCGCAGAGGATGTCGACTCGGCGGGGAGCGTGTCGACGCGCTCCTGCGGCTACCAGTTGAAACTCATCAGGGCTGATACCGCGCGCGCGCTCCTCTTCCCCTAGCTGCCCCCGCCTCTTCGGCTGGGCCGCGCGTCGGAGAAGTCACGGGCGGCGCCGGATTGCCGGCGACGCGGCCACGCCAAGACAGCGGGCGGCCTCTCCTTGAGGGGCAGCGGGAGCAGGTGTTAGGAGAGCCTGTAGAAGAAAAGAAAAGCGTCGCGGGCGTCGGATAAGTCCCAGTTGTAGCGCACGGCATTCGCGGGTGCAGGTCCTGGCCGCCGAACGGCAGTGCGGCATCTTGTCCCGGCCTACGGCCACCACCAGGAGCGTAGCGAGCTGCGCGATCGGGCTCACCCGAGCGTGCGAGAGCATGGACATATGGAACCGCGGGCCTCGGATGCGGGCGACACGGCGCTCGGCCAAGTGGCCTCGGGCGATGCGGCTATGGTGACCATTTCGGCCAAGTCCGAGATCCCCGAGGGTGGACGGACTTGAGCCAAAATGGCTACGGAAGAGGAGGAGGAGGAGGAGGAAGAAGAAAAAGAGGCGGAGGACGAGGATGCGGGGGAGGAAGAGGAAATGGAGGAGCCCAGGCCTGAGCAAGAAGTCCCTGAAGCCGGAGGCCGTGATGGCGCCCGTCCCGTGGCCGCCGCCGTCCTTCCCGTCCTGTGGGCGGGGAGCGTTCTCGCACCAACCAGCCTGGGCCCTTCCCCCCTTTGCGCTTTCTCGGGAACGCCGCATGTCAGAGGAACCATACCGATGGCCTTCGCCCGTTTTCCCCTTTTGGGGCCTCCTGGGAGGCCCTCGTCGCCACCGCGGGATTCGCTGACGCACCACTGGAGAGATCCGGGAACTAGCGGTATCGGCGCCTCTTCGTTTCCCCAGTATTTCTCGTCCTCCCTCCCTCTTTCGTTCCTCTGGCTTTTCGTCCTCTTCCTCCTCCTCCTCCTCTTCCTCCTCCTCCTCATCATCATCATCATCCTCCTCTTCCTCCTCCTCCAACTTTTCTTTCTTACAAGCAACTCCCTGTCGCACCCCGAGGCCAGCCAAAAGGGCGGGCCAGGCGTTTCGCCTCCGATTTCCCCACCATAGATGATAATGAAGCTTCAAAATTGACAGCAGCTCCACAGATGCAGGGCGGGCCGCTTCCAAAATGTGGCTCTCGCCTCATCGACGCGCACACTCGTTTTCAACATTTGCGAGGGCGTCACGGATTGAGGGCGGACGGTTTTCAAAACGTGGCTCTCGCCTTAGCGTGGCGCGCGTTCGTATTCCGCATAACTGCGCATCAGTAACTTTGATTAGCGGTGTTGAAGTCCTAGGAGCGGTGTTCTTACGCTTCAGGATCTTCCAACGGTTGTCTCCCAACGAGCCCTTTCCCTGAGTGGAAATGAACACTTGTGGAGGCCCAAGACGAGGGAGCTTGGAAGGAAAAGTGATTCCAACATGAGTCTTGGGCTTACACCGGTCCTCCTCCTCCTCCTCCTCCTCCTCCTCCTCCTCATGCGTCCCCCTGCTCCTGCAATTGTTCGAGGACGGCGTTGATGTCAATGCGCGCTGTATTTCCTCTGCGACAAGCAAGATTACAGACAATTTCTTCGATGATGCCGCTGGACGGCTGACAGAATTACTGAAGCCACAACGACAGTATACTCAATGGCAATCTCCTCGACCTGAGAGCACAACTGATGAGATACGACAAAATTGGAGATATGCACGACATAGTCCAAGCGTGGCCAAGTATGACGGCACTTTCGTGGTTTGACAATTTACCACGCCCTTACCAAATTCCTCAGAAGTTGACGGTTACCAAAGATGCAAGGTAGAAAAGTTGTTCCACACTCCTCGGCCACCCTGACTGGCCACGCGACTGCTTGCCCTTACCTCCCCCCTTCGCTTGAGCCTGGCGACCCAGCATGGCCTGCCAGTCACGCGGTGACAGGTGCTCGTCATCATTGGAGTATTTCAGCTTGTCCATGTCCACTTGCGCGCTGGATCCCCCCGTTGGTTACCATCGTGAGGCAGCTTGGTCGTCGTGTCCTTGATCGCATCGCGATGTCAAACTGATGCTGAACATGTTCGACCTGAGCGACGGAGATGTGGAGAGGTAGAGCGACCACCGCTACAGTCACAACAATACCAGTCATCGTGATTTGAGAAGGGGTTGGCCGTTTTGCCACAAGGGGTGATCAAGACCTGGAATATGAGCCTGCTACAAACTCTTCTCGTCGGACTTCCTTACGTTCGGGTGTTTCCCCATGCCGTCACGCCTGTCTCGTATCATCCGAAAAAAGCATGCGTGGTACATGTTGGTTTCGACGATCGTCGGGTACCAAGTTACGTCAGGTGATGCAGTCCGCATTCACTCGACGTAGCATGGCAAACTCTGCTTCGCGTCGAAGACGGTGCAGTATCCGTCCAATCCGGCGACGGCCCGTATGCACTCGACGGCGAGATCCTTGGCGAGGAAGCGCAACGCCAAAGTGCCCGCGGCGCGTGACCCATGCGCGCTCTCCACCGCCAGGTCACAGCACAAGTGCTTGCAGCCGATCGCCGCGGGATGACCCAGCCAGGGCTCTCCAAACCACGCGAGCAACATGTTGACGCAATCGTCTTTACGTGGCGCAGGCGCAGGCGCACTGGTTGCGCGCGCCTGCGGGATCTCCTACTTATCCAAATCAAGTCGAGGAGCTCGCGCGGGAGAGCAGTTGGTGACAAAGGGCCCGGGTGACCCACGGCAATCGTCGAGGAACTGCGACAAAATTGCATTTACCAGCGCCACCCAAATATCGTGCTATTCACGCCTATGGTCACTAACGGAGAATCTCTCCAAGCGTCAGGGCCATGCAGGAACAGTATGTGTAACATCCTCCACGAGTCACCGTACCAGAACCTGAGCGAAGACCTCCAGTTCTCGAATTTTCTTCGGTGGTAGTTTATCCGCTTACTTCGTGGAGGTCGCAGCGATGCTGGCTGCTCCATCCCATGATCTTCTGGCGCCAATGGAAGCGGGCGCGGCCGTGGAGGTTACGCACGCGCAAGGCATTCACCTGAAATGAGGGTCGCACTGCGCGAGCCCCAAAGGCGTTACAAATCGATCAAAAGGTGACCAAGCTCTGGGGCTGACCCCAGCGGCGAATATTGGAGGCCTAGAAATGAGCACCAACACCAACACAGGGGGGCTGTCTCCACATGGGGAAGACGATCCTAGATTTCGGTGTTGGTGGCAATATTTCGGCCACCTTGGAAACCAGAATACTACCACCATCACCGAGATTGGGATCTTCTTCCCTCGGTAGTTGCACACCGCCGATATTGGTGTTGGTGTCAATCTCTGGGCCTGCGGGAATAGGCAATCAAATCCACCCTTGCCACTGCCACTGCGCCTGGTTCAGAAGCCGTCAGGGGTGCCGGTGGCGTCGGGCGCCCCAGCGGGGTGCCTGCTGCCTGCCGTCAACCCCGGCTACCCTCGAAACCCTGGCCGTCAGCGCCTGCCGCCGCCAGCGACTCAGCTGACGAGGGAACTGGCGCTTCAGTCGGCGACGAAGGGGCCGCCGCTCCTTGCTTGCACCGCTGAGTCACACGCCTTGCCTCGTGACTGGGACCTTGAGGGTGGCGGCCTTCAACTTGGGACGTGTTCACCATGGATCTTGATTGCGCCCTTGCTGCGGGCTCTGCTGCCCTCCTTCGCCAGCGGCTTTGCCCATATGACCCTTGCCTGGGTTGCCAAAGGAAGCCGGGGTGGCTGTGACTTTCGCACTGCCCGACAAATGGGCGACTGCGGCGCGCTGCCCAAGTCGGGCATGGGGGCGTCGCCCTTGACCGCGTTGGTTACCGCGCAGATGTTTGGAGCACCGTCACCCAACTTTAGCGCGATCCTCCCTATGGCGCCTCAGCGCCCATCTTGTTCGGAAAATCAACATCGCGTCACCAAGGGCCGCACGGCCGCGCATACCTCGTTGATCCTGGTAGTCCCACCCGCCCTTCAGGGCGTCAGTGGTTTAGCGAGTTTCCTCTTCCAACCCCCTTCTTCCCCTTCGGGTAAGGCTTTACCCCTCTCTCTGCCCCCCATCCCTGGAACTGGACGAGACGTTCCGCGAGGGGTTGGAGCGTCCAAGATGGCCTCGGCGAGAACGACGAAATCACTGATTTTACTGGAAGGTGCGGCCACATTTTGGTCTCCTTGGGCGGGGGCTAATTTAGAACGGCCCCTCCTTTGATCGATCTCCTCCTAGATGTCCCCAAGATGGCCCCTGGGCTCCCAAGGGTGCCCCAAGACGGGCCCGAGAGGTGCCCCAAAAATACTCCCAGGGAACCCCCAAGAGGTCCCAAGAGAGACCCCCAGAGGCACCCAAAGATGCTCCCAAGAGACCCCCAAGAGATCCCAAGAGGGGCCCCCAGAGGCACCCAAGATGCCCCAAGAGGCCTCGGCGAGAAGACCAACATCATTGATACCACTAAGGCCTTGGCCACATTTGGGTCACTTCGGGGGGGGGTCAAATAGTGCAGCACCTCCTGTGATCGATCTCTTCCAAGATGGCCCCAAGATGGCCCCCTGGGCTCCCAAGGGTGCCCCAAGACGGGCCCGAGGGGTGCCCCCGAGATGCTCCCAAGAGACCCCCAAGAGATCCCAAGAAGGCCCCCTAGAGGCACCCAAGATGCCCCAAGAGGCCCCGGCTGGAATTGGCCACATGTCGGCCTCTTGGGGGGGAGGTAATTTAGTACAGCACCTCATGTGATCGATCTTTTCCAAAACGGCCCCAAAATGGCCCCCGAGGCTTTCAAGGGTGCCCCAAGACGGTCCCGAGAGGTGTCTGGGAGGCCGCAAGAGGCCCCCAAGAAGCCCCCTACGATGCCCCCAAGAGGCTCCCAAGGACCCCACAGAGGCACCCAAGACGCCCCAAGAGGCCTCGGCGAGAAGACCAACATCATTAATATAACCAAGGTTTTGGCCACATGTTGGCCTCTTGGGGAGGGTCCCTAATGTACTACGGCCCCTCCTTTGATCGATCTCCTGCGAAATGAGCCTAAGATGGCACCCAAGGCTCCTAAGGGTGCCCCAAAAATGGCCCCGAGAGGTGTCCAGGATGCCCCAGGAGGCCCCCCCAAAAAGGCTCCCAAGCGACCCACAAAAAGACCCAAAGAGGGTCCCGAGAGGCACTCAAGACGCCCCAATAAGCCCCTGGGACTGGCAAGAGACCCCCAAGAACCCCCCAAAAACAAGAGACCCCTAGAGGCATCCAAGAGGCTTCTGGCCTTTCTGTTCGCCCCCCTCCTCCTCCTCCTCCTCCTCCTCCTCCTCCTCCTCCTCCTCCTCCTCCTCCTCCGCTTCCTCCTCCTCCTCCTCCTCCTCGCCCTCCTCCTCCTCCTCCTCCTCCTCCCTCCTCCTCCTCCTCCTCCTCCTCCTCCTCCTCCTCCCTCCTCCTCCTCCTCCTCCTCCTCCTCCTCCTCCTCCTCCTCCTCCCTCCTCCTCCTCCTCCTCCTCCTCCTCCTCCTCCTCTTCGTCGCGACACTGGGCGACGAGCTTGGCTCGCCCGCCCTGGGCCCGATACATTGCCGACGTGACCGTGGCCCCTGTCGGATTGCACTGCGGCCGGCATGTTAAATCGCACATGGGCCGCTGCCGGGCGGGTTTGTCTGCCGCGGTCCCCTCGCCCCCGCGGGCG